ATCTTCTGGATAACTACGAGTGGGAAGTTGGGGTCCTTCTCGTGGATGCGATAGACGCGAGCCATTATGTGGCGCACATCTTCTAGTGTGTACTTTGAGGCCAGTTCGCGAGCCTCGAGTAGGTCATCTTCGGTTACGTGAAGGTCCTGCTCGGTTGTTTGGAAGTCGGGCATGTCATCCTGATCGTAGGAGAAAGACTGTTGAGGTCCTATATGTCAGTCTAATTGATCCACAGTAGGTGCATGTCCAAATGAAGCAAGTAGCCCAAAGCAAGGCAAGGCAATGTAACTAGACTCACCTCGTCAAACTCGGATGATGAATCGCTGGCGACATTGTGCAGGTGCTGGTGCTGGTGCTGAGCCGGAGGCAATGGGTCAAGAGGGATCTCTTGAGCCACTCCAGTGGAAACCCTCTTTTCGTTGTCGGCCATGGCCGAAGGCCTCCTTTAGGCAAATGGATCTTGAATTCCACCAATCTCAATAGCCGTACCAAAGTCCCTCGACCTGGGGTCGCTCTTTGTGCGTCTTTAGTCGATTGCGCGAAACGGAAGAATTGGCTGAGGCGATGATGATGGTCAAGCGAAAAAACGTCGATGCGTTAATTCAAATCGTGTCAAGGAACTCGAAGTGGTCGTGATGGTGCTATTGAGGCGATGATTGTAGCGGTTGGCAAGAAACGAAAGAGTGACGAGATGGCGCGACGGAACAAGGCTCGCGGAAGAACGAGAACGGGGGTAGCCGGTATTGAATACGTTTTACCACGCACGGGTTGAAGTGAGTGGTAAAAAAAAGCAGGTATTCTAGCGTAGGCACGTTGCGTGGGTGGTCGGATCGAGAGTCGAGTCGAGTCTAGACGAGTGGAACAAGGTACGCGTGGCGCTGGCCGTCGGTAGATGACTCTCTCTCTCTCAGCTGGCAGGTATCGCGAAAAAAGGAAGACCAGGGGAAATGAAAGACGCAGCAGAGTAGAGTATGGAAGCGAAGCCGAGGAGGAGAGAGGCCTGTGAAGGGTACGAAAGAGGTGACGAAGAAGAGAGGACGGGAGGAGAAGATCGGAGTCCGGCAAAGAGCCAAGTCAAGCGTGCGTGCGTGCGTGAGGGAGAGTGAGCGAAATGGAAATGACGGGATGGACGAGATTCGCAAAGCAATTGGACTAGTCTAGGGCGCTGAAGTGAAGGAGAGTTACAGTGAGAAGACACGGGGAGCGTTAGGGGATTGAGTGAGTGGTCTGTGGCGGGACCTGGACAGAACAGACGCAAGACAGGGCAGGTCAGGATTTTCGGTGGGGAACTGGGAGAGGCTACGTGAGATGTGATTGGACTGGAGAGACACGAGCCGGGGGGCTTGGGCTTGCAAAGAACCCCCCAAAAAAAGGCTAGGGCTCGGAACTAGGGAGCCGTAGTCCAAAAGCAAGCAACCCAACGGCAAAGACGGCAGAAGATACTTGCCAGGTATCACTGAGAGATATATGGATGCAGTACAGTACCTCTCCATCAAGCAGCAGGTAATGTCTCTGGTCTCTGTATCTGCTCACTATAATTCTGTCTTGGTTCTACTGACTGTCCACTGTGCATCTACTTTCCACTGTGTTCTGTTCCTTGATCTTGAAAGACAAGACAGTCGAGACAGACTTGGCAATGGCTGCGAATGAGGCGGGAGGAATCAGTCACTACCCCTTGGCTCCTGGTTGGTCCCCTTCTCCATGTCTTGGCGCTATCGTCAAAGTGGAACAAGCCACCACCACCAACTGCAAACTACACGGCCACTCCGTTGATGATGACTGAAGAGGATCAATCTGAGATAATCTATAATCTCAGATATCATCAATTGAATCTCTGAATATCTGTCTTGATCAACTTATATCCCCTGGTCGTGTCTGCTGTTGTTGTGTCGTGGTTACAGATGTCGGGTACGTACCTCCTCGGAACTGACGGCACGGCTACCGGCCTGTTTCGTCTCGGCGCTGTCCTGTCCTCTCCAGCTCTCACAGCGATTGATTGTCGCTCGTTCGCTCGCTGTCCTCTAACGCCGATTACCCGGCATCAAGCCACCCCAAGCGAAATCTACAGTCTCCTTTCCACTTGTAACATCAACGAAACATGCCCCTTGCTCCTCATTGGTCTCTTTGCACTGATCATCAACAACTTCAAAAAGAACACGGGTCTCGGCACGACTCTTCAATTGTTTGTTTGCTCACAATTGTCGTGATTGTGATTCTTGTGGGGTAGGACTCAATGTGAGGTACGAGCTGCATCGTATGTGCGCCCATGGGATGGTACGACAACGGCACACCAAGGCATGGCAAGACCATGCCGACTGACATGACAGTATTCTTGGCGATAAGTCATCCAAGACCTGGTTGTAGATCTTTTAGTCTGTCGGCTGATCAGCATTGAGCTGACTCATGTGGTATAGGGTGGGTAGCTTTGTCCGACTTCACATCACAACCACTCGTACGCTTGCTTCACTTGACACCATCAATTACACAAATGGTCAGAAGACTAATAATAAGCTTGTGTCAAATGTGTTGATATGTAGTGCCAGAGAACTCTTGTTTAAATAGAGTGTTCTGTATACGCTTAGTTAAGTACTTACCTAGTAACCGCTTAGGTAGTAGAATGTGTTTCCATCTACACCACTCATGATTCGGCATGTCGTAGCATATAGTTAACAGTTCCACATGCGATAATGGAGAGCATTTCTTGAATCAGATAACTAATGCGATTTGATCTGGGACTCTACAACTAAAGCCAGAGTTATCCATGTGTCCTCAGATAGTTCAGTTACGGTATCTGTCAGTGACGTGAGTAAATTACCCGGTGGAGGTTCTGCACATGTATCAGAAGCCACTCCACACGTCAAAAGTGGCCGTTGCATTCCGTCTTAGAGGGAAACTAAAATCCTAGTAGTTCAGAATGTCTGGGTTATAATAGTTTATGTACATACTGTTTGACACTCATCTCCGATTTATAATGTGAGGTGACAACAAAGCAACGAGATTAATTATTAGTCTATCCATCTATTCCTCTATGCCCAGTCCTGCTTATATCCAACAAGATAACAAAACCCCTTAGAACTCCTTCAAAATATGCATCACTTCATTCCTTAGAGCGAGTTTAAAATACCATCGACATTGGCAAAGGACAGTAGCTTGTTCGTCTCATACCACACCTTGTCCGCAAAAGCTTTACCCTCTTTCGTGTACAAGAACTTAGTATAACTACCAATCGTTAGTGACTGACGGCATCTAAATAGTATCGCCGAACTTACTGGTGAATCCTCCAATCCTGGAGGTATGACCCATGAGTCTCCTTGCCCATGACAACACCAGCTTGCACAAATGTACTAGCTCCGTTCTTGATGTTCCGAGCAGCAATCCAGTTGACGAAAGCAAAGATGTACTGAATGATGATGTTTCCCTGACCTCGTGTCAAGCTAGTTCCGCCGACTAGACCTGGATCAACGAGGTTGACAATCACATCCTCGGCTTTGACGCGCTCAGCTAGCTTGACGATCCAGAAGTGCGCGAGGGCCTTGGTTCTAGAATATGTAGGAAGGGGATTCACACCGCCGGTGAAAAAAGCTTCCTTGTCAAAAAACTCCATGACGTTCTCGTCTTTGGCGTTAGGGAAATCAGCCATAAGAGATGTGCCGGAGTTGACGATGGTGAGGTGTCCAGGTTGACCTGCTGGAGCTTTTTGCTTGAGTGTAGGAAGAAGCAGCGTGGCGAGAAGAACGGTAGAGAGATAGTTGACCTGGAAAGAAACCTCATGGCCCTCAGGACTAAGCTCGAACTTTGTCATTTGTATACCAGCGTTGAGAATGACGAGATCAATACGATCAAGCGTCTCGCACTTTTTCGCAAAGTCTTGAACGCTCTTGTATAAGTTCATGTCGACCTGCCAGACGAGGATCTCGGCTTTGGGATGCTTGGCGCGGAGGGTTGATGCGGCGGTTTCACCCTTGGAGATACTTCGGACGGCGATGATGAGACGCTTGAGGTTCATGGCGAGGAACTGCTCTGCGGCGCCATAGCCAATGCCTGTGTTTGCGCCGGTGATGATGATGGTGCTGTCGGAGAGGGAGATGTCCTTGGGGATGGGGACGGGCTTGGTGGTTTGGGAGCGGAAGAAGCGATAGTTATCTGGGGCGAGTTCAAGAGACCTGGGAGCCATTGTGTGGATATTGATTGCGGGTTACAGTAAGAGTAGTAATGGTTGATTGGTATTGTAGTCTTGTTATTATAAAGCTGATGATTGTGTTTGTGATGTTCTGAACATGCTATAAAGATGTGGACGTCCATCTCTTTTATGTCTTTTACAACTAGATTAAACCTTATGGAGATGAAGCACATATTCGCGAATAAACCAAAAAGGGAAACAGTTGTCAACTCTATGAGGTCTTGAGTAGTATCGCAAACCACCGTTGACGACAATGACAGAGGCAGATTGGAAACCGCTTTAGGAAAGCAATAGATTTCACGCCAAGAGTTTCTCTCTGGAAGGATCGAAAGAAGCATTGCATTTGCGGGCCTCTTTGACATTGTCTACGTCCTATTCGACGTTCAGGCAGGCTCTCAATGCCCGAGGCTGTTGGCTTGAGTACGATGGAGGAAGCGGGGCAGATGCATCTCGGATGAACATTAGGGCGAGAGATAGACAAAACTCAGGCAGCAGTGAGATGGTAGAATTCGAGACGAAGATGACTCTATTATTCTGTCAGCCTCTGTCACCAACGATCGGCTTTAAGCTCAATCGCCAACCCGACACTAAGCCCTGTGCTCTAACCGGAATAGGAAAACAATCGATGTCTTGGCAAGATGATGCTGACAGGTCCTCTCAGGAGCTCGATTGCTTTCCGTAAAGAGTTAACAATCTCATCTGGTTCAACTCATCCCAACTCAAACCTTTACTCATCACTCTAAACTTCGTTCAACAGCCTGTAGCGTTATACCAGTCATCAATTTGAAAGAGGATACCTTTGTCTTATATCCGAGTCATCATGCTAGAGCCCTTCTTACAGCCAGTCTCCGTCCCAGAACCACTCCCAGTGCGGGCCAAGCCACGAGCTCGAAAGCCTCGTCAACAGGGTCGTGAGTTATCCCCGGATCACAAATGACGGGCATCACTCAGTGATACTGACCAAGTGTAGCTAAAACTTTCGAGTTTGTTTCCTCAGGCCCAGTTGGCAAACCAGCACCTGAATCTCGCAAGTTCATCCGCAGCCATGTAATGCGCGGCAAGAATACGAAAAAGTCACCTCCAAGACATCCCATATTGGACGTTGAAGTCGATGCTACTAGTGACGATGTGGAGGAGCTAGATCGCCCTGCACCCCTGGCGATCACTCGCTGTACAGATGCCATGTGGACTGTTGGCCATACACATGCTCGCCAAGACAGAGCTTGGGTTGAGTCGCCTTCTCTTATGGCGCAACTAGTCAAGCCCCCGCCTGATCTCGATCTGTTCACTTTTGCTACACCTCTTGATAAAAATTCAAGGTATTATATTTATAGATGTAAGGTTCCAGCCCTATGATCCGTGATGAAGCTTATGTTGTAGTTCTTACTACCATCAAGGAGACTATGTACCCTGCAGAATGGTGTTTCGACCCCGACGGTGAGAAGGCATGCTGGTTCCGCTGGCTACTCGAAGATCCGGCTTACCTTCACTGCATCTGTTTTATGGTCAGCGCGTTTCAAGACCTTATTAACATGAAGTCATTACTGGGACGTGGGAAATACGAGACTGGATGGGGCGGAGAGTTCTCAGCATCAACACGAAATCGGCTTCGGCATACCATCAAACTTTTACAAGAAAGGCTGAAAGACCCTGCCAAACAAGTCGAGGATGCAACTACAGCGACCATCATATCGCTGGCCATGATGGCTGATGCTATGGAGGACGCCCAGGCTTTTGAGGCTCACTCAAATGGCCTTCGGCGGATTGTCAAGATGAGAGGTGGTTTACAAGGGTACACACATAACCGACAACTACAGATCAAACTCTGTCGGTGAGTTCTGCCTCCCGATCTGGTATTAAAATCCCACTAATATCATGCAGTGTCGACCTCGGATGGTCCATCAGAAACGGCTGCAAACCCGAGATCTATGACGGCAAGCCAGCATGGGAACCTCTCCTCGAAGCCTTTGGAACCGTAGCCTGCTCCTTCAAGATTCAAGAACCATCCATAGACTTCATGAACGTCTACTACACCTGGGACTGGAGATTACAAAACACCTTCAAAGATCTTCGAGACTTTTCCGTACTAGCGAACAGACACTCCCCGAGTGCCAAGAAGCTCAAACCTGAAGCGTTCCAGGAGATCATGCTGTCAATACAGTATCGACTTTTACAGCTTGACTTTTCGCAAGATCCAGCGCCGATACAAGAAGCGCTGCGTATTGGACTGCTTGCTTACGAGTCGACTATCTTCTTGCAAATACAGGGCACGAAGCTAAAGTCTGATTCGTTTAGTCGACAGTTGCGCGATGCCATTCAGGCTACGCCTGTGCAAGGAGAGGCGACGGCCAATATCAAGCTTTGGCTTCTTGTGGTAGGGTCTATCATTGTCTTTGACAGCAGTGAAGATTGGCTTGTGCAGTCGATAAATAGTTTGGTTGGACGGCAGAGATGGGAGGAGGTGCGGGAGCGTGTGAAGGAGGTTATGTGGATTGATGTCATCCATGATGGCCCTGGTCGGAAGGCCTTTGAAGAGGCGCAATCATATATATGAAGTGGGAGCGAAGCGTGACAAAGGCTGTTTGTGCAAAAGTTCGTGTCTAGTTCGGCCTTGGGAAACTATGGAGAGCAGAAGCTATGGCGAGCTTTGAAGACACACTCTCTGTGAAGCAAATGATGGGCCGAGCTGTCACTTCAAAGGCCCAGGTCATTCTCAGCCAAGAGCTGCATAAAGACATGACCAATGAAAGGCCAGTTTTCTACCTCATCTTGGGAAAAGAATAGAATGACAACATCGTCAAAGAGCCTAATGAAGGTTATTGAACCACGCCGTTCAAACAAACCAGATGTACGCAAAAGCAATATCTAACGACTCAGCCTGCCAATTCCGGTATATTCATTGAATAAACCTAAATTACTCTTGGTCGAAATGCTGAATCTTCAGTCCTTCTGCGCCAGTATTCTTTGTTCTCCGGGTAGAAGCATGGAGCTATGGACAACTTTCACGTTCACTACTGTAGGTTCCTACATTTACGTAGCTGTCCGCAATGACTTGTCATAACCATGCTATCTTATGCCTCAATTACCTGTCTCATTCTTTGTATCTTGCTGTTGAGTCTAGATGTTTATTTAATGCTATGCTTTCGTCTGGCGGTGAATGTCTGCGAACAAAGAAACAGTTCTAGAAGTTTAGATAGGAGTGGCTAGCAAGCGATATATCACATTGACGGATTATATCATTGAAGCTATTTCGAGAGGTATAAATACCAGTCTGTGACCATCACTCAGTTTCTCAAACGCAACCTCTTCTCCTCAACACTCAATCAAGTCAAGAGCAAACCAACACTTACAGACATCTCACACAACTACCTCGTTTCATCATACAAAACAACTCAGTTTCTCATACCACCAACTCAACCAAGTGACCATATCCTCGTCACCATGTCCGGCCACTCCCCCACCCATTCCTCTTCACCTTACGAGACTGCCCCTACCTCCCCTCCGGGGACCCTCTACAACGCAGAAAATGGCATGCGCTTCATCGCCCACGGTATGAGGAACACTACCACGGGTGAGATCGTCATCTTCGACTCGCGCAACGTCCAGCAGTGGGAGCTGGACGTGGCCACCAACCAACTCTGGGCCAGCCTCCACGCGGCCACCAGTGAGCTATTTGGTCAGATCACTCAGATTCATGAGGACATGAATGGTATCCTTCGTCTGCGAAAGGAGGACTTGAAGAGAGCTCGGCGGCGCAACCAAACCTTGTTGTTCTGTGTTTTGGGTGTTTTGGGTTTTTTAAACGGGATTTTTTTGGTTTGGGTTTTGAAGCACCGTGGCTAGGAGGCCTTTGAACTCTTCGGCATTGAGTAAGGGTTTGTGGCAGCAAATGGGAGGAGAACCCAGGGGGAACATGCGATGAAGGAATTAGGAGAAGGCGGAGATCTGCATAGGACGGTTAGTGTATTTGAGTCTTTTACATTATTTGGAATTGGGAAACATAGACGGTTGGGTACTAGATTGCATAAATACACGGTTTTGCTGGGGAAAAACCTACAGTTCATCTCTTGTGATCGCCTTTGGCCTGTCTTGTGAGCAGTTCTACTCTGGTATGGCACGACAGGTTTAAGAGATAACGCTGGCATGAAGTATCCATGTTCACTCAGGCCTCACTTCTGAATATCTAAGCAATGTCCATAAATTTATGATAGAGTTGTAGGTGCGTTTTCGCAATAGAGTGTCATTCGACCTTCACCAGCTTGCTTCCTACTTGTGATGGTATCGCCAGCGTCATAGTCGAGTAACGTGACGCTCCGTTGGTATCGCTTCCCCAGCCAGAGAGTCAGAGACTATAGACAGGTAAGAAAAAAAAAGATGATTTTCCTACAGTTCTGCCATATCGAAAGGCTTGGGAGTTGAATCTCGTTGAGATGTGGATGAGTTCCCTCTGTGCTCTACACATTGGATCTGTGATCTAGTACAATTGCTTGGACTAGCTGTTATGAGAGCTTTCTGCTCACACTTGAATGAATACATATGCCCTCGATATAAGAGGCAACAGTGATGGCTTTGTGTCAGGGTATTCTCTCATTGTCATCCGAATTCTGGTGGATCACCGTCTTATCATCAGGATACAACTCCCCTGTTTCTACTGAAGCTCTATACAGGAGTCGCTATTCGTTCGACATTCAGACAGTACCATGTCTCGAGTATCGAGCGTCTAATGATTCCATACGCTGCTCACGTTTGGGAGGTAGTGTCTTTTCGATTCAAGGTTATGAGAATCCCACGTGGCAGCGCGGTTCTATCGCACCATACTGATCAAGTCTTCCAAAAGTTACTTTGCAATAAGTCAATGCTCAGCAGGTCATGTAATCAACATTGAGGACTGGAGAGAGAAAACAGCTAGTGACGAGTGCGCCCCCCTGTAGAGTTGCGGTATGGATACAAGGACGATGGATCATGAGCACTCGAGAACCTTGGTCGGTCTATCCTATGCGTCTGAGGGTTCATGCTCTAGACGCTTCTCGTGGATAGCTACAGCTTTCGAATCGAAATGGGCTTTGCCAGTTATACTAAGAACAAGTCCCGGCCTCGAGGTACGCTATTGATAGGTGGGTGAATGTGAGAGAGAGCTTATGCGTCCATACAGAGGGCAATCACTCCAGATAGAAGCTCTTTGACTGAGGTGCGACTGTTACCTGAACCCCCGTTGTGCTTCTTATCATCTAGTGGATGACTTGAGTTGCTCAATGCCACCAATGCTACACTCAGTCTGAACGCCGCGGACGGGCTTACGACTTGGCGGCCCTTTACTCCCCCCCAAACATCATGCATCACCAGGCAAAGGCGAAGCTCAAAGTTGGTTACCCGTCTCTCTCCGTCGTGCTTCGAGAAGGCTATGGAGTGCCTACTCCGTGGCATCCGAGGATCAGCTGAGGACTGAGTCTCAAGCACAGATAAGTATACCACATGGACGAGCACTAACGACGATCTCAATAAGAAGATTGCAAGCAGCCAGGGACCCGTCTACGATGAGAATCGAGTGAGGGGCACCGAAGGGTATACAGTCACCTCTGCCATCGCCATGAGAGTCCATCATCGTGACTTACACGGTCATTACCCGGGACCACAGCACAGAGACCCAATATCAACACTACATCAGCACTGCTTTTCCACAAGTCTATCTCCCATTCATCATCTAGTCATGCCCGAGTCAGTCAGAGACTGAACCTCAAACACCTCGCGTAATAAGTCCTTCCAGAAGCAGCATCATGACTGCTTATCCCTCAATCCTCCGAAGCATGCATATCAGCGAGACCCGACAGTCTGGTAATAAACGGCCCGTTTACAAGGCAAATTTCCCCCCTTCTGCAACCACGCAGGAGCATAATTCCCGTCCTTTCCGTGCCCTATTCTGCCTAAACCTCCGAAATACAAGTGAAACGAGGACGACAACAATGACACTCCTGTGATTGCTTTGGGCAGGCTCCTTGTTGATCAATATCCATTCACTTGCATAAGGCAGCTTCGTCAACGGCGGTCATTCCTGTTTCTGATAGAGTCCTTCAAGGCTAGCCCTACCAAGCTGCATCATGTTTGCTTCAAAATGCTCCGGAGCCATGCCATATACTGTACCTAACTATCTATAATTCGGAGATGATCTATCTGTGGGTTGTAATGCCCCGGTGGGTTCATGACGTTCAACCATGCTTGGCCCTGCTCGTCGTACCGACTTTCAAGGGCGATTATGTCAAAACTCCGTCCCTTGTCCTGCCTTACCGCCTGGCCCCAAACCTGAAGTTCGATCGCAAGAACACCCCCACAAGCTAAATGGTCCAGGCATGTCAAGGGGGAAGAGGGGGACCACGATCCCCTCACGACGGCGCGGCACGGCCTCGGTTTCCGGAACCAGCAGTGGGGTGCGTTTGTGGTCCCAAGGTTACATCCGTTCCGTGAAGAAGAAGAGGGAGAAAGGCAACACTGCCGGAGATTATTTAGGTCGAGAACGGCACTGTGATATGGAGGGAGAGAGAGAGTTTCAAGTGGGAGGCAAAGCAGATAGAGAGAGACACAAGTAAAATTAACAGGCGACGGCGTAGCAGAATTGATAAGGAATGACAAACCAACAAACTTCAGATAGAAAGTGTCACAACTGAACTCTGCGGTTAGTGGTGTTCAGTTGAATGCAACAGGCACTGCCGTTCCGCTGACGGAATGTCAAAAGGACGGCACTTTTAGACCAGGAACCACTTTGCTAGACTAGCTAGCTAGCTTAGCATCGCGGATTGACTAAACTAGAGTGAAACTAACGAATATGGAGAAACTATCGACGTCAGAAAGAAGAATGGTCGGAAAACACACATAATCCCCTCCGACCCAATTCGGCCCTCGGATGGAGGTCCTGCGAACGGTAACCACCTCCGTTCTAGAAGGTTTCTTCGGCCGTGGGCACCAGATTCTGATACTTGACGACGCAAAGGACAGGACAAGCATGATCTGATATGATCTTCATTACTTGGAGAGTCTGAGAGTTTTGTTTTGTTAGGAATTGCTTGTGAAAACATCCTATTACCGGTGACAGGTAGGGATCATGATCCTGTTCTGCCAGGTAGATAATCTCGTTGACATGTGTTTATACGCCATAGCCAAACAGACAATTATCCTCATTCTTTTCTCTACTTGGCAAATCTTGCGAGTAAACTGCCTGGTTGATATGTGAAAAGACCTAGTTTCAACTCAAACCCGTGTTATCAAGGTCCAGACTCTGAGTTGATGCCATTCATGGTTCACAGAACATGCCTTTCAGGTCAACGGCTCAACGCAATAGAGTGGATCAAATGTTGAACTGAATTGTGAACCAAAACCCACAATCCGTAAAGTCTATCATGCTCCGCTACCAAGCTCTTGAGAAGCGCGGAATTATACCGAGTAGTGTCGGTGCTCGAGCCCTTTTTTCCCATGGACGGACCCAAAAAGCATAAACTGGAGCCTTATGAGAACGGACCTTATCCACCTCCAGCCCCAGCTTTTTCATGTGATTGTCTCGAGTTAATTACCACTACGTACGGGCTATCTCCAGGTTTAACCTGTACCAATATGTGCTCGCTGTTATGTTATGGAAAGGCAAGGATATAGCGTTTACGTGCCAAAACAAGCCTGGCCCGCATAAGCACCGAGGTCTCGCCCTGCACAAAAAGACAAAGAGCGCGTTTAAGTCCAGTCCAATCTGGAGAAACGAGCATGGCCCCAATGAATCTTAAATCCCAAGACAGGAATAAGAAGCGGGTTCTCTCAGTCTCCCCTGCAGGGATTGCATTGCGTGGCCCAGCTGGGGACAGGACAGGGTCAGAGAACAGAAAAACCCCTGATGTTGAGAGCCCAAAAGAGGAATCATTCGAGAATATTTCTGGAAGCATTCCACTTTTGGGTAGACGCTACGAAAGGTGGGCGTGAGCAGTTTAATTCGTCCGTCTCTTTGCACCCCCATCATAATGTCGATCGTCAGGCTCTTATCACCCGTTATTATAGCTTCATCCTTCTCAAGAGCAAGGTAATATAGCCTCAAAAGGTAGGTCAACCGCATTGCAAGTCGCCGCTTACAGCTATCGAGATTAGGTCCGAGGAAGCCGAAATGTCATTTCATGTCCTTCCTGTGTCATCGCAACAGCAAAGGGCCATATTCCCAGTTGAGGGCACATCGCCCGACGTAACCTTAATTAACGTGGGTTTCAGATAGAGGATCGCCCTCGCTAAACACTCGTCGGTTAGCAGCTTCACTGACACTCAACCCTCGGCACTTCGCAGAGATAAGAAACGTCTCGAATAAATTAGAATTGACAGAAGGGAAGAAAAAAAGGCCAGCCCTACGGATAACGTTTAGCGAAGAGACGACAAGCATTCGACTCCTTGAGCATTGGCGCCGAGGATTAAATCCTCAACGCGACAATGGGGCACAGTGAGTGTGTGTTTTTTTCCCGCTGTCAATTGGAGGAGGTATGAGTCAAGAATAGCGGCGTAGCATTCAACTCTTGACGCTTGAATCCTGAGTCCTGCAGGATTCTGAGGGCGATCCAAGCATTGTTGGTCGAGATGCAAAAATAGCCCACCACCGTAAATATCCTCAATCTGATACAAGACATAAAGTTCAGGTATCGCAAGCTGCCAAGATAACTTTATGTGGCAATAACAAGACTTGGCAACATGAGTAAAAAGCAATGGAGAGAACTTTTGAGACTCACGGATTGCCGGATGAGCTGTGCAATAGCAAGCGTCGTACAACATCATCTCTGTGAGACATGCTGTGTTCAATAGTTGAACTTGCTTAACAAGCAACATCCCAG